GATACTCTGTGGTGTGGAGGATACTCTGTGGTGTGGATACTCTGTGGCCAGTGACTTAATGACATTAACTGGCAGCGTTTTGTTGCATTTTTTAAAATAACATTTTCATAATTCTATATTATCCATTTCCACTTTAATTCAAATTTTCTGTATTATATGAATGAGTGTGTGTGTGTGTTAGATAGGCTTTCACCCTGTAGTTCAACTGACTTTAATAAAACAGATAATGCTCCTGCCTTAGTCTTGAAAGTGCTGGCACCACATCTGCCTTCATCGTCGATTTGATTCTCTTGTGTACATAGTAAATAATAATCTAGCAAACTAAAATAAATTTGTGATATTCATCAGCTAAAGTTAAATTTACTTGGCATTCTTTAGGGTGTATATTTTAGAAAGTAATTGTAACTATTAGAGGAAACCGGAGATTTTTACTTTAAATAAGTCTATCCTTCTGGAGAATTTCAAATATTTTCTTAAGGCTAATAGAAAACTTACTCATTATAACATCATATCAATGTTACACGGTTCAATTTAGAAAACAGGAAATATTAAAGCTGAATTTATTTTACTAAAAACACCCAAAATACTGAAAATTTACAGTTTACACTTTTGTAAGGACAAATTTACAAAGATTCCATGAATAAGTGAGGTGAAATATTCAGATACTTCTGAGATATCAAGAAAAGACCATTTTTATTAACAATCAATGCAATAGAAGAAACAAATCCATGTAAAAAATATAAATGTCTTATACAATGTTAAAAAATCTTTTGTTTTCATAGGCCATGAGTTGAAACTTTCCTAAGAATTCCTAAGGATATGTAAATTTAGCAGGCAAGAAAATTATTGAGAAACACTAAATAAGCTATATTTGTTGGATATTCCTAGCTTAAGTTTCATATAAATAAATGAATATTGTCTGATAACTTGAGGAAAGTAGTAAAATGAGAAAATGCAAAATATAATTTAAATGTACCTTAACATTATAAATGTAGTCCTGCAAAGCAATAAATGTGTGTTCTCTGTTTTTAACCCTCTAAGTTATTTCACGTGTTTTGTGACAAGGATGGAAAACTAACTCAATTGCTGTTACCTAGGTAGAAACATGTCCTTAGACTTATTAGAGTACACTCTCAGGATTATCCATAGTCAGATATACTGGTTGAAATAGTTTACTTGGGATTACTTTTCACATAAGTGTTAGTGTGCATCCATTGTAAAAAAGTCATGGGTTTCATGACATTTTTATGTGATATATAATACCTGTTGATCATCTTCATCTTCATCTGCATCCTATAAACCTTTCATGTCTCTATTCAACCTTCTGCAGGGCCCTGTCCTCTTCCCAATAGACCCTTTCTACTATACACACACACACACACACACACACACACACACACACACATATATATATATATATATATGTGTGTGTGTGTGTGTATATATATATATGAATATATACACACACACATATATATGTATATATACATATGGTTCCAAGATCACATTAAGTATAATCTATGTTCTTTTATAAATCATTACACTGACATTTCCATGTCTACAGTATTTGTTGTGTTTGCTTATGATATGGTATGGCTCAAAAGCATAATTCTAAACAGAGAATTCTCCAACTGCTTATTACAGAAAATGCTGCTTCATTCTAACACTTACAGCTCTCACTATAATGAAGAGTAAAAGAAACACTCACCCAGCTAGGCCTTTGATAAGCACCCATGAAGAATGAGGCCCTACTGAGAAGTAGTTATAAGGAAGAAATGTCATCAGCTCATCTCCCTATAGACAGAGATAATTATCATGTCATCTGTAAAAGTCAGTTTTGACCTTGAGGTTGTAAGAAAGTGGCACCATCAAATGGAAAAGTGAACTTCCCTAATTTCAGGAGAACAGTAGAGCAGGAACAGCTGAGCTCTGGGTTTCCCATGCGTGAGATATTTTCTCCAAGCCATATCTGTGTGGATTAACTGATCCCAGTCCTTGTGAACAAAACAAAAGTAACAATAATAATATCATACTTAGAAGAAGTAATAAAACACTTTAGCTTCCCCAAGGTATTCTTCCTCCATACTTACTTGACAGTGGCTTCATGGTCTCACCTAGAAATTAACAGCTCTTTTGATACAATTAAGAAAATGTTAACTCCTCCAAACACATTCAGAAAAAGTAATCTTTTTTACAGAGCACAATAAATGAGGTAATATATTATCAGCAGAAATTCAATTTAGTGGCTGGGATGTAGCTAAGTTGGTAGAATGCATGCTTAGAAAGTATTATGTATGTGGGACACTGTATAAAACAAAAACCAAAACCAAACCTTCAAATTATAGGTACAGGTAAGGGGAAGAATCCCAAGTCAAATGGCAAGGACTAGATCTTCAAAAAGGTAACAGAAGAAAACTGCTCCTAATTAAGACAAACCCAGGGAAATAACCAGAGTAAACAGAATACTGAGAGAAAGAGAGGAAGAGAGAGAGAGAGAGAGAGAGAGAGAGAGAGAGAGAGAGAGAGAGATATCAGAAAAGAAACTTTCCATAGTATCTTGTAGTTAAACTCAATATACATAACAAAAAAGTGTATTAAAAGCTGTAGGAGAATAACAGTGAATCACAAATAGAGGAAAATCCCAGCAAAAGAACAGCTGATTTTTCAAGAGAAAACTTTAAAGCTAGAAGAGCCTGGAACAATATATCCCAAGTCCTAAATAACATCCCATCTAAAATGATATACCCAGAAAAGTGACTGCCATGATTGAGGGAGAAAGAAAGAATTTCTACATTAGCAGCCTGAAAAATAATTAAATTCAAAAAACCAAACTTCAGCAAAATACGGGGAACATTATTTTGGCCTGAAAAGAGGAATAATAAAAGCAGAGAGACTGTGGAAAAAAACACGAAGCTATACTTGTTTAAACAACAAGTACCATGGAGAACACAACTTTAAAAATCAACATGATGACCAAAAGTAACAGACACATTTCAATAATAATTTAAGCGTGAATGGCCTTAGTAATCGACTCAAAAATCAGAGTGACTGAAAGGATCAAGAAATCAAACCCACCTACTTATTGTTTACAAGAAACACATCATAGTTGTAAACACTATGTCAGGGTAAAAGAACGGGCAAAAGTACTCCAATCACATGGAACCAGAAAGAAAGTGGGAGTCACTCTCTAAACATCTGGCAAAATAGACATAGCCCTAAAACTAATTAAATGAGATAAAGAGGGTCACTTCATTCTAATCAAGGGAACAGTGAACCAAGAAGAAACTACTACCATAAACATATATAACACTAAACTCGGGGAGACCTAATTTCTTTGCTTTTTGTTTCTAAGATTTTTTTTAAAACCTGTTAATTACTTATCTGTGAACTTCACATCATGTACCAGAATCCATCTCCCCTTGTTTCCACCCTCTACCCTTGCAACCTCCCTCCCAACAAAGAAAAATAATCTCATTATGGAATCTGTAGTGTGTCACAGTTGTCCCACAGTATTCACTTTTGTCCACACTTCTTTCTTAAAAATTTCATTGCAATGACTTGTTGCACTGGTATGATTCCTCTGGCTGCTGCTCTATCAATACTACAGTGAATGTTAGGTTACTAATCATTCAAATGTCCATATGTGAAAACACTGAAGGTAGACATAGCCTCTTCTCTGCCACCTACTGACGCACATGTGAAACAGCAGCTACAACTGCAATGCTTCTATTGGGCAGGGGGACGCTCAAATTCCTTAAGCAAACAAACAAAAAAAACACACAAACGATACTCCTGAATTAAAAGACACAGATTAACATCAATCCATTAATTGTAGATGTTTTTAACACCCAACTTTCTCCAGTAGACATATCATTTAGACAAAAATAAACAACCATCAAATAAATAGATGACATTATACATCAAATGTACTTAACAGATGCCTACAGAATATTCTAATCAAACACCAAAGAACACAAATTTTACTCTGCAGCAATAGACACTTTTCTAAATTAGACAGCATCCAGAAATGAAAACCAAATCATTAAAAATCAAAGTTTGAAATCATTCATTGTATCCAATTTGACAAAACTACAATAAAATGCAATATTGGCAGCAAAAAATCTCTAGTAAGTACAATAAATCTAGACATTAAATAACACATTATAGAATGATTATGGTGTCCAAAAAGAAATCAATAGAGAATTAAAAGCTTCCTATAACTAAATGAAAATGAAAATAATAAGACAAAACCATGGATACATTGAAAGCAATCCTATGCATAAAATTTATAGCCCTAAGTGTCTACATTAAAAATCAAAGCAAACAGCACAAACAAATGACAAGATTACATTGCTTTTATTGTTATTTCTTCCTATCAACTAGGTTGTATTATGTTTGTTCCAACATTTTGAGTTGTGTAATCTTGTCATAGGATTGCTTTCAATGTATCCATGGTTTTTGTCTTATTATTTTCATTTTCATTTAGTTATAGAAGTTTTTAACAATAAAAGCAAAAATCAATAAAACAGAAGCAAAGAAAACAATACAAAGAATCAACAAATGTAATTGAAGGCATTTGGCTTAACTGACCAGAGATAGATAGATGATAGATAGATAGATAGATACATCGATAGATAGATAGATTAGATAGAACCTAACTTAACAAAGTCAGAAGTGAATGAATAGGAAAATATTATAAGAGACACAAAGGAATTCAGAATATTGTAAGAGGATGTTTTAAAAACCATGGACTCCATTGAACAGGAAAATCTAAAGAACCTGTATAATTTTCTAGATTCTGTCAAATGACAAAATTAAACCAAGAAGTCAACAATCTAAACAGGCCAATAACAAATGAGAAGACTTAAATAATAATAAAAGCCTTCCAGCCAAGGAAATTCTGGGACCCAATACATTCACAGCAGAATGTCTACCAGATGTTCCAAGGAAATCTAGAGCCCATCCTTCTCACACTATTTTTACTATTGTATTTTTTTATTGGATATTTTATTTATTTACATTTCAGAAATCATCCCCTTTCCCCATTTCCCCTCCCTAGAGCCCCCATCCCATCCCCCCTCCTCTCTTTTGCTTTTATACAATTTTAATTACATGCGTGTATTAAGGTCAGTTCTAGGTTGAGGGTCTAGCAGTACAATAGATGCAAATAGTCAAGGAACAAGCAATACAATAAACACAAATAGTCTAAGGACAACCATTAAACCCAATTACGTGAACACTTCCGTGATCACTGTTTCTAAAGGCTTATCAGGATAAACAATATATCTGAGCCTACTTCCCTGTCCTAGCCCAAAGTCATTTTAATGTCTGAAGCCTATTTCCTTGTTCTAGCCTAAAATTTAGAGTCCTGTCTGAAATTACTTCTTTGTTCTAGCCTAAGATTTAGATTCCTTCCAGAAATTATTTCTTTGTTCTAGCCTAATATTTAGATTCCTGCCTAAAGTTACTTCTTTGTTCTAACCTAATGTTAGATTCCTGCCTGAAGCCTACTTCCTTGTCCTTGGCCAATGTCATATTCCTGTCAAGCAGCCCATTTCCTTATACTTGGTCCATGTCAGATTCTTGCCAAGCATCCCCAAAGGCTCCACCTCTCCCCCTTTTTTATTTCATTAACAAGACTGAGCCTGTCTTTGATCGTTCTGTCAAGAATGCCTTCCTTACCCATCATGGAATATGCATTATTCAAAGCAATGCACTTTTGTCTTAGGTTGCTAAGGCTCTGTGCAGAATCTTACCCGTCCTTGGCGAGCCAGTCTCTTAATTGCATAACTCTGTCTAGTGGTCCGTTTTCAGGTTCAAGCCATGTATTCTGGCTACCAACATGATAATGTTGTTAGAGACAAGCTTTAACATGATGGGCAGGAATAAAAGTATTCCCAGAACAAAAAGGGCTAGCATGATCAAGGTGTATATGCCACTCTTGAAGCTTGACCAAAATAGAAATATTGACCTCAGGCCATGAGTAATTTTATCTGCAGTATCTACCTCATAAACGCTCAGAAGCGCAGCATTCTTGAAATTCATAAGCTCACTATGTAACGCTAAAACATCCAGAGAGGTGTTAGAATTATGCCAAATATACTGCAAGTGTCTTTTAACTTTTATAATTACTACCACTGTAAATTTTAGAACTAACATGAATCCAATGGTATTTGGCATGACACTCAAGATGGCTCCTTACCCTTAAATTCTGAACCTCCTTCCAATAATTTGAATAGGATAAGAACATCAATCCATTCTTCCAAATGTCTATCTAAATCCCCTTGTATATTCAATACATTAGCAACATATTTTTTTTTTTTTGCTAAATGATTAACAAAAGTAGCTGTCTTAACTTCTTATGTCATGGCAATTGCAGAAGAAGTGGTGCTAGCAATTAATGTAATTAAAGCTGTTATACCAGCAATAATCAAGTCCACTACCCTCTGGCTTCTGCTTAAAGCCTGACTCATTTTTTCCAGTACTTGCAAGCTATTTTTAGAAAACCAAGGTTCTGTGATACTCAGGGCACTAAAACAAAAGCTGGTTGATAGACCTCTGTAACTAACATGCTGGATTTCAAAACACAAACACAGCTAGAAGGTGTACAATCAATCAACTTACATTAAATATTGTAGAAGAAACAAAAGTAGTAACTTGACAATTAAAAGAGCCTTAACACATATACTAACACCTGTTTGAAATCCAGATCCTGTCCCAATTTTATCTCTTGTTAACGTAACATCATAGAGAACTGCAGCTAATTTCTGTATATGTCTCTGTGAATGTCCAGAACAAGTCTTCCAAATGAAGACTGTTATTTCCAATGTTGGATTGATTTCTAGACAAGTCCATGATTGAGTCTGAATAACTGGTCACATTTAAGAAAAATACAAGAGTCATTATAACTTCTCTTTTTGATTCTCTGTTCCACAAGGTCTAAACACTTGAAGCAAGACAGCTTGTCCCATTAGGGATATAGGTAAACAATGGAGGGTCGGGAACATATGTCCAATACAGCTTCCCAGTCACCATTGTCAAGGCACTCAGCAAGCTCACAGGTCAAGATCATTATTTGTCCTAGCATCAGCATGTTTCACCTGTTGCTTTGATGGCCACCATGCTCCTTCAGCATCCTGCAGAAAAAACACAAACATGCCCTCTTCCCCATATTTAATACCTGATCAAGATCATGCCTTATGCCAGTAAGTGGGTCTTTCCCTTTCACCTATGCATAAGTATGCCTAGTTGTAGAGTGCCATAGACACTCAGCAGAAAGTACCTTGGCATTCAATTTATTTTTAAAAAAATTTGAAATAAAAAATGAAAAAAACATGATTTAAATAAGTTTGTGGTATATGGAGATATATCTCCCTTTTTATATTTTGTGAAGACATTGTTTTAAACTTCCATAGACTCATTCCATAGTCTCTTTTCCTTGACAATTACAAGGAATTCTGATAATATGGGTAATGTTAAATTGCTGTTAAAAAGTCTCAAATGTTTGACTGTGATAGCCAGTTCCATTATCTGTTTTTTCTTTGTTTGTTAGTCTGCCTTCCTTTCTTCCTTTCTTCCTTCCTTCCTTCCTTCCTTCCTTCCTTCTTTCTTTCTTTCTTTCTTTATTTCTTTCTTTCTTTCATTATTGGGTACTTTATTAATCTACATTTCAGATGTTATCTCCTTTCCCCATTCATCCATCCCCAGAAACACCTTAACCCAACCTCCCTCCTCCTATTTCTATGAGGATGCGCCCCCACCCATCCACCCATTCCCACCTCCCTGCCCTGGAATTCCCCCTCTCTGGGGCATTCAGCCTTCAAGGGACCAAGGCCCTCCTCTCCCACTGATGCCTAACAAGTCCATCCTCCTCTACATATACAGCTAGAGACATGGGTCCCTCTGTGTGTGTTCCCAGGCTAGCTGTTTAGACCCTGGGAACTCTAGTTGGTTGGTATTGTCACTCTCCCCTTGGGGCCGCAAGCCCCTTCAACTCCTTTAGTCTCCTAACTTCTCCACTGGGGACCCTGTGATCAGTTCAATGGTTAGCTGTGAGCATCTGCTTCTGTATATGTGAGGCTCTGGCTGTGCCTCTCAGGAGACAGGTATATCAGGCTCTTGACAGCATGCAGTTCCTGACATTCATAACAGTGTTTGCATATGGTGATTGCATCTTGGAGGGCTCTCCAGGTGGGGTGGTCTCTCCTCCAGTTTCTGCCCCACACATTGTCTCATATTTTCTCCTGTGAGTATTTTGTTACTCCTTCTAAGAAGGACTGAAGCACCCACACTTTGGTCTTTCTTTTTCTTAGGCTTCATGTGGTCTGTGAGTTATATCTTGGGTATTGTGAGATTTTGGGCTAATATCCACTTATCAATGAGTGCATACCATGTGTGTTCTTTTGTGATTGGGTTGCCTCACTCAGGATGATATTTTCTAGTTCCATCCATTTGCCTAAGAATTTCTTGAATTCATTGTTTGAATAGCTGAGTAATTCTCCATTGTGTAAGTGTACCACATTTTCTGTATCCATTCCTCTGTTGAAGGACATCTGAGATTTTTCCTTAGTCTGTGGTGATCTGATAGGATGCATGGGATTATTTCAATTTTCTTTTATCTTTTGAGGCCTGTTTTGTGACCAATTATATGGTCAGTTTTGGAATACGTATCGAGAAGAAGGTATATTCTTTTGGTTTTTGATCAAATGTTCTATAAATATCTGATAAATCTATTTGGT